TGTTAAGATCTGAGGGACAGACTCGGGATAGCACAGAGCAGAAAGGAAATTTAGAAGTACACAGTCAGTAAGAGGCAGAGACCACATCAGTACCCACAGGATCAAGGCCCCATCCATCATCGCTTACAAATGAGAAAAACAAACAACAGAGATTGAGAGAAAGTATTCAAGGGATCACAAATAGTGGCAAAACTAAAACCAGAACCCAAGTCTTCTTAAAGGTGTTCTCCATACAAGTACAAAACCCAGTTATTTTCCCTTCTACCTCTTAACATAATGCATCATGCTGAAATGTCTAAGAGAAGTTTTATTAATTCCATCATGGAAAGCACAAAAAAGAAGAAACAAGGAAAATCTTTTTAAGTCATTTCTACACCCAATGTAGGGCTCAAACTCACAACCCTGAGATCAAGAATCACACACTCCCCCAACAGAGCCAGCCAGGTGCCCCAGGAAAATCTTTTTAAAATCTAACAAAGCAACAAGCTATAGGCTCCTGACAGTTGTATTATAATGAGGCAGCTGCTGGGCTGCACTATGACTTTTGTAGGCTGTATTCACTTTTGCCTTAGTTGGTCCTTCATCCATAAAAAAATATTAAAAATTATATTTTATGACTGCATTGGTATAAAAATGAATGTAATGCCAGCTGCATTCATTATTACATATTAATTATTATTATTATATTTATTTTTCTTCTGATTCTGAAAGAAATTCAAACTATTGTGGGCCCTGGACATTGTGTCTAATTGGCTCTGTGCGATTGACCAAGCATCCAGGTTCTACTTCATGTCAAAGCTTGATCTGTTACCATATTTTTTTTTAATTGAAATATAGTTGACATACAATAATTATATTAGTTTTAGGTGTACGACATAGTAATTCAACAATTCTATACATTACGCAGTGTTCACCATGATAACTGTAGCCACCATACTAAGTTATTACAACATTATTGACTCTATTCCCTGTGCTGTACTTTTCATCTCTGTGACTTATTTCTCTTATAGCTGGAGGTTTGTACCTCTTCATCTTCTTCACCTATTTCACTCATCCCTTCACCCCTTCTTCCTTCTGGCAACCACCAGTTTGTTTTCTGTATTTATGAGTCTGTTTCTGTTTTTGTTTCTTTGTTTTAGACTCCACATATGAGTAAAATCATATGGTATTTGTCTTTCTCTGCCTGACTTATTTCACATAGCATGATACCCCCTGGGTCCATCCATGTTGTTGGAAATGACAAGATTTCATTCCTTGTGATGGCTGAGTAATATTCCATTGTGTATATATACCACATCTTCTTTTTTATTTGAGAGAGAGAGAATGAGAGACAGAGAGCATGAGAGGGAGGAGGGTCAGAGGGAGAAGCAGACTCCCTGCCGAGCAGGGAGCCCGATGCGGGACTCGATCCCGGGACTCCAGGATCATGACCTGAG